TATACTTTTAGTTGGAAGAAAGAACACAGTAATTTTGGATGCCTTATATTTGGTCCTCTGATTACTGCTATTCAGGTTGTAGCCTCACAGGACTGGCCGGAAGTAACAAAGTATCATTGAAAAAAAAAAAACCACCTATTGCCTCGGTTGACCAACAACCGAGGCCAAAAGTTTGACGAAAAAAAACAAAAAAAAAACACTCTCTACTGTCTCGATTGGATGTGAATCGAGGCAAAAACATACATTTTTTTGTCTCAATTCACAACCGAGGCAAAAAAGCTTACCACTTTTTACCGTCTGTATATACCTCAATTGCAGAACCGTTGCGGAAAGACAAAAATAACCGCTGTTGTTTCCCTTTTCTAGTGAGTTTCTGGAATTCTAAGAAAATGTTGACTAATATTATTGATGGGAGGATCATTATTCATTCAAACATTTTCTTAATCAAAAACATGTGGAAGAAAATAATTTATCATGTTGGTGTAAAATAAAATATAAAACGTGATGCTCAAGAATATTTTATATTCGAAAGTAAACGAGTGGTTCTATCATTCATGTTTTTACTAAATCATGTGTTCTTTTCAATCTGTCATTGTCGCCAGAGACAAATTTATTGACTTTCTTATAATTGTCTGCAGAAAGCAAAATGTAGCACGTGCTTCTTCTTTTCTCTTCCCATATTCTCCCAAGAAAATCAAATTTAATGTTATTATTTATTATAAGTATTGTATCTTTTAAGTGTGATGAAACTTCATTATGATTTTAATTTTTAAAAGTATTTATGTGAATATAAAAGAAAAAAATATTTAAATTGTATTTTATCTTAAATTTTAAATTTTAAATGATAGGAGACTATTGAGTATGATAATAACATCAATTTTTTTTCCTCTAATGTCAATGAAAATGATAAAAATGTGAAATGTCAATGAAAATGATAAACAATGTTATAGATCTACAATGATAGGTCTCTCATACACATTTTCTTTTGAAGAGCATGTGATATTGAAGATTTGAAAGACTCAAATAATATTAATTTTATGTAAATAATTTATGGATGTTATAAAAGTTATAGACAATAGACATATAGTATATCGAAATTTGGTTCAATCATTCACATTATTAAAATATGATTTCTTAAATGTGACACAATAACTTATTAAAATATGTTTTTCCCTTGTCTTCTGAGTTGGCGTTGTTTATTTGATATCAGATTAAAAAAAAGTCTAACAATTAGTTTCGATGGGAGGAAAATTTAGCTTTAAAACTAGAGATGACAAGACTAACAGAATAAAAAAAAAAAACTAGTAATCTTCCTCGACGTAAAAATTACCAATAAAAGGATACTATTTATCACTGTAATTTCCGAAGAGAAAAAACATTTTTTTATCAGCAATTGAAAATAAAAACAATCTAATGGTATAACCTTAGAGTCCTTTATTTGAAAAGAAAAACTGGAAAAAGTTGGAAGCACTTCTCAAATGAAGGAGACTTTGAGCTTAGAAAAGTTGAAGATACAGAAGCCTAAATTACAAATAAAATGTCTTCTAGTAAAAGAAAAATTAATTATAACTCACTATTATTGGAGTAATCACTTTATAAAAACCTTGAAATATACAAAGTGTTGGGATCAAACCTTGAAAAATCATTGCAAAAAGGAAGAAAAAAAAGTGGGTAACTAATTAAGCATATCTTATAAAAATGGAACTTACATCTTGTAGTTGATGATTACATCTTTGTACTTTACTTAAAGCAACGCCATGCATTTATAAAAATGAAACTTGATATATTGAAAATAGAGTATTTTAATATATAATAATAAACTATAATAAAAGATTAATTGAAAGACTCAACTATGCCAAACATTACTTTCTAGTTCACAAGTTAAGTCGGTACATAAAAAATTTATTGACCATATTTTTAAGTATAATTAATCACTTATGGTATATGAAATTCAACAATGTCTCTTTTCTCTTACTTATCTTCCAATATATGTCGATGCAGTTTAGGAAAATTATTTAAAATTTAGGAAATCAACCACTAACTTTTGATTCTCTAATTTCTTGAAAGTTTGTGTAAAAAAAAAAAAAAACTAAAATACTGTCTTAAAATGTTCGGCAAAATTAGAAATATCATTGGCTACTAAAATGGTTTTTTTTAATATTTCAGTTTGAGTTTATAATTGTTTTCTAAAACTGTATATGATATTAAATTAATTTTTTTAATGAATAATAATTTCAATAGAAAGTATTATATTGTAGTTGTTTTAGATAATACAGAAGTGTTATTATATGGAAAAGTTTTTAAAAGGAAAGAATTTTGTGAAAAAAAATGTTATTGTTGGGAAGAGACACAATTGAATTGTTTAAAAAAGTAAAACGTTTGCATAGTAATTTTATTTGTAAATCCATTATGAGTTGATAATTAATATTTTAAATTTCATCTGAAGTTAATTTTTAAAAATAATATTAACTTGAACGAAAATATATATAAACTTTAAATATTATTCTTATTATTCCATATAAAAAACTAAATGTTCTTTAAGAATTTTGAGTGTGGACTTTTGAATATAGGTTGTGATATTGTGAGATCTTAACGATAGTTTGATTACTCTTTTTATATGGAAAAAGTCTTCTTGTTCTTGAGAGCAAGAAAATTCATCTATAAAAACTTTTTGACGCTAAAGTCACTAAGAGAGTTAAGATCTATAAGTAAGGATGAGAGTGATTATGAAGTAAGTATTATTTGGAGAATACCATTTGTATTTATACAATCAACATGAGCTATATACTTATGTTCCTATTAGAATAATACTTACCTAGAGAGTATAACATAATAAAAGGTAACAATATAGTAAAAAATAACTTACGTAACCCGAAATTTAGTTACAATATATAAATATGACCCAAATAAGTGTAGGTTTTGGTTGATCCATAATTAAGAGACTTAGGACCTTATTGGACCACGTTATTTAATATGTCTATTGGACAAGGTAGGAACATCAGCACCCAATCTTGGAATTTTGGTTTGGTATATGTGGTCACATCGGATCTGTGTAATTCAGAGATGGATCGGCCATTTGGCCAAGGCCATAATACAATATAAGCCATTTGGTCGTGTTTTGCAAGTGGATTGGCCTCAAGGTTGGGGTTTGTAATGTAGCTGGGCCATTTCGCCATGCTTTACAGGTGAATTGGCCTTGAGGTTGAGCTCTTTTAAGTGACTAATCCAACCAAGCTTAAAGTGACATTGACTTTGAGTTGAGTTCTTCAATGGCTAATGCAGTCGAGCTTAAAGTGATATGGCATCGGGGTCGAACTCTTCAATGGCTAATACAATCGAGCTTAAACTGAAATGGCCTTGGCCCCGAGGTCATATCACTTTAAGCTCAGCTGGATTAACCATTGAAGACCTTGGCCCCGAGGCCATATTACTTTAAGCTCGACTACATTAGTCATCGGAGAACTTGGCCTCGAGGCCATATCACTTTAAGCTCGACTGGATTAGTCCTTGAAGAGCTCGACCCCAAGGTCATATCACTTTAAGCTTGGTTAGATTAGTCATTGAAGAGCTCAACCCCAAGACCATATCACTTTAAGCTTGGCCCCAAGGCCATATCACTTTAAGCTTGACTGGATTAGCCATTGAAAAGCTCGGCCTCGATATCACTTTCAGCTTGGCTGGATTAGCCATTAAAGAGCTCATCCTCAAGGGCATATTACTTTAAGCTCGATTGGATTTGTCACTTAAAAGTGCTTGGTCTCAAGGGAAATCCACTTGCAAAGCACGACCGACTGACCTAATTACATTACAAAACGACCTTGTGGCTAATCCACTTGTAAGACACGACCAAATGGTGCATACTACATTACAACCTCAACCAAATGGTCAAACCATCTTTGAATTATACAAAGATCTAATGTGACCGCATATACGAAACCAAACTTTTGAGACTAGCTAGGCTTATTTTCCTACTCGATCCAATAAGCATATTAAATAGTGTGGTCTGATAAAGCCTTTTAAGTCTCTTAATTATTGAGTAGCCAGACCTACACTTATTTGGGCTATATTTACATATTATAACTAAATCTCGGTAGTTTGGTATGTTAGTTATTATTTACCATTATGTTACTATTTATTTATTGTTATTATATTTTCTAGATAAGTATTATTCAAAGAGGAACATAGGTTCACGACAATGTTGATCTATAAATACAACTAGTATTCCACAAGGGATATTCACTTCATAATTACTCTTACTCTTATTTATAGTTCATAATTACTCTCACTCTTATTTATAGATCATAATCTCTCTTATTGAGTTGAGCGTTAAAAGTCTTTGTTGCATAAAAAAAAATCAAATTAGTTATTCAAATATGTTTAAGATACGGATAAGAACATTTATAGTTACTAAGGAAAATACATCTAATTATACCCTTTAATAACCATTTTGTTTTATTTTGTTCTTCATTTTAACTACACCCTCTGATTTGTTAATTTGAGAAACCAATAAAATCATACAATTCTATTAAATTTAAGGATTATTAAAATTGAATTGAATTCTTAACTTTAAAGGCTAAATACATATTTTATACATAAATGGTATACATCTTATATAAAAAGTATTTTCCTTCAAATAATATGAAGAATATAAATTTCTTATTTTTATATTTAGTCTTATAGAACTTTTTAAATAAAATGTCATATTTTTATGCTTCTTTTAATTAATTATTCTGCATGTAGAAAAAGTGATATTATTTAACAAATCTGTCTAAAATGTTATTTTTATTTTTATTTTTAACATGAATGAAAGGACCTTAAACTACATGAATATGTTATTATACAATCACAAATTCAAATAAACAACATAAGATACATTATGTGTACTACTATCTGACTCATTGTCTTTCAAAATTACCAAGTCTACAAAATAACAATAAAGACAAAAACATAGTTTAATCAATTACTTATGAAGAAACTGAATCATTATGTTGAGCTTAGAAAAGATAAATGTCTAACTCTTTATTGAATCATAAAACTTGTAATGATAAATTCGACTTAAAAAACTTAATCAAAAGAGCATACTCTTCAGTAGTCTTTGTATCCATACCATTTCTCAGCAATTGAGGAAAGAACAACCAATTTGCAGTGATGGCTAAAAATGAAATCACAAGGGGCCCTGACACCGCACCATGCAACTGCCACTCACGGTGGCTAGCCACCTTTTTCGCAACCACCTCCACCACCATGCACACACCATGAAGGACAAAAAAACATGTCACTTCCCACGTTGGAGTCACACGAGTAAGATAATAATAAATTAACTCATGCATGAGTCCTGATACAAGAAAAGTGACTAACATGGCAGCCGAAGTGGCACAAGAGATGTTCACAAAACTTGAAAGCATACTGCGTGTAGGATTGTATACAGTAGGACGTAGAAGATGAGACACCATGAGGTTCCATCTGTGACCCCAGAAGTCTTGAAGTGAAGTGGAAAGGTAGGGTTCGTTGAACTGTGATTCTATCTCAAAGCCAAGAACAGTTCGAATCATGGCTCCAATGAAGATTAAGAGAAGTTCTAGGGAAAGGTAAACGTGGCAGCAATAAATGGGCAATAAGAGATTAGGGTGAAGATTTTGTTTGTAGTCATAAGCACGAATTATCATTGCAAAAAGAAGCAGTTTCAGAGGAAAAAGCCATTTGGGTTTGTTGGTGGTGTGGTTTTGCTTGGTTGGAGGGTGTTGTTTTGGGATGATGGGTAAGGAAGCTATGGAGATGAAGAGGAAAATGTTTTGGGGTGATATTGCAAGAGGGCCTTGGTTGAAGGAGAAAAGAAGAAGCTTGAATGTGGCAAGCCAAAGGAAGAAGGAAATTGTTCCAACTAAGGTAGGTGAAGAGAGGTATAATGGAAGCATGAAGAAGAGACAGAGAATTGGAAGGAGGGAGAGAAGCCTCAAGAAACCTTTTGGTATTCTAGAAACTATGTAATAGCAATAACTTAGAGATATGATGGTTGAAATCCATACTTTCATGAACCTTTCAATTTCACCTCCCATCTTCATCTTCTTTCTCCCTTGAATAGGCAATGAGTTTTGTGAAACTAATGGAAATAATGAGTGATATTATATATTGGTTGATCTATGTATTGAAGAAGACTTAGGATACAATATAAATAATTGGAGTTATAAACTATACAAAAACTAATGCACACACCATATATAATAATCTGTGATAGCAGCAAGAAAGTTTGACTTAGATTTCTTGTGTGATTGTGTATAAAAAAGGACATACTTATCTTAGCTTGTAAAGATGGATAAAAACGTAAATATATTATTGTTTCAAATTGTTGTATTCTATGGGTTCATTTTTCTCGACTAAATTCTTATAATTTGATCGGTGGTTTTCATCTATATATTTGTCTCTTTGGCACATAATATATATTTTGTTTGAGTCACTGTCAATTAATAGATTTCCTATTCTTATTTGTTATGTATAATTTCGTGGCTCATTTCGATTATGGTTTCGAGAAGGAAAATATTAATTAGGATTTATTAAGGGAGTAACGAAGCAATCTCTTACGTACACAAAATAAATATAATAAAAACGATGGATGTTGTTTAGTATATTTGTCTTTGATAAAGTGTTGACATAAACATACATTTGTGAATATGTGTTAATGGTATGATTCATTATAACATTTGTGAATATGTGTTAATGGTATGATTCATTATAAGACTTGTCAATTTTTCCATAAGTTAGTATCGGATTAAAATAAACAGTGGATAGAGCTCGTCGAACTGGATCCGCATTACTTTTCAGTTTAGACAAGTTCAATTTAACTTTCAATTTGATGACATTGAATCTAAACATATTAGTCTCAATTATAGGTTCAACATGACTTAATCTAACAATCAACCTGAACCAATTTGATTAAACCTCTGAAACTAACTCAATTTGACTTTTGCTTCAAATTGACTAATCCTAACCTTTGAGTTAAGTCAGCTCAGCTCGAACTTTGACCTAAGTTTATTTGACATAACCTTTGACCAAAGTTAATTCAGCTTGACCTTTGACCCGAGTTGGTATAACACAACCTTTAGCCTGTGTCAACAAGAGACAACCTTTAACACGACCTTCAACCTAAGGTGACATGACTAACCTTCAACCTAAGCCAACTCAGCCATGTTCGATTCGACTTTTGGTCCAGGCCAATTTAGCACAACCTTTGGCTTAGACCGACTCATCTCGATTTTGGTCCAGTCTGACTTCACTTAACCTTTAACCTTACATAACAAGACCCAACCCTTGACTCTACATGAGTAGGTCTAACCTTTAACTAAGGACAACATGTCTCGACCTTCAATCCAAGTCAATTTGGCTTAACCTTTAACCTGGAATGAATTGTCCTAATCTTCAACCCAGGGTTAACTTAAGTTTAGCTTAGGCTGACCTGTCTTGAACTTTATCCTAGGCCAACGCGACACAATCTTTGACTTAGGTCAATCCAACATGACCTTCTATCTAAGATGACACGACTTTATTTTTCATCTCTAGCAGGCTTGACACAATCTTTTGGCTTAGGCAAGCTCGACTTGATCTTTGGTCTAGGCTAACTCGATCTGACTTTTAGCTTAAGTCAATTGATGAATAAATATTTTTATACTATTCATTTAGCTTTTTGTACTACATTTGATTAAGGAATTGAGTTTAATTATCCAATATTTCCTCAGTTTTGATATTTGGGCTTAATTTGACCTATAATTATTATTTTAATTAATTTGAATTATCTAAGGCTAATTATTTCAATTATTAATTGCAGGGAATTATTTAGAATATTATTTTGAGACATCATGAGAGTTACCACGTCATTCTTCACTTGCCACATCAGCTTTTTCATATTGTAAATTCATTTTTTAGGAGTTTTTGGACAGATTTGACTTTTTGGGTCGTTTTGGGTCATTTTTGGAGAGGTCCATTAGTGCCTTGACCTAGTTTTGTGAACAAAAGGGGGCAGACCCCAAAACACTCTCTCACTCTCTAATTTTACGTTTTCTAAGCTTTGGACAGAAGGGAGAGCTCCTCTAATTTGGGGTTTTNCAAATATGTTTAAGATACGGATAAGAACATTTATAGTTACTAAGGAAAATACATCTAATTATACCCTTTAATAACCATTTTGTTTTATTTTGTTCTTCATTTTAACTACACCCTCTGATTTGTTAATTTGAGAAACCAATAAAATCATACAATTCTATTAAATTTAAGGATTATTAAAATTGAATTGAATTCTTAACTTTAAAGGCTAAATACATATTTTATACATAAATGGTATACATCTTATATAAAAAGTATTTTCCTTCAAATAATATGAAGAATATAAATTTCTTATTTTTATATTTAGTCTTATAGAACTTTTTAAATAAAATGTCATATTTTTATGCTTCTTTTAATTAATTATTCTGCATGTAGAAAAAGTGATATTATTTAACAAATCTGTCTAAAATGTTATTTTTATTTTTATTTTTAACATGAATGAAAGGACCTTAAACTACATGAATATGTTATTATACAATCACAAATTCAAATAAACAACATAAGATACATAATGTGTAATACTATCTGACTCATTGTCTTTCAAAATTACCAAGTCTACAAAATAACAATAAAGACAAAAACATAGTTTAATCAATTACTTATGAAGAAACTGAATCATTATGTTGAGCTTAGAAAAGATAAATGTCTAACTCTTTATTGAATCATAAAACTTGTAATGAAAAATTCGACTTAAAAAACTTAATCAAAAGAGCATACTCTTCAGTAGTCTTTGTATCCATACCATTTCTCAGCAATTGAGGAAAGAACAACCAATTTGCAGTGATGGCTAAAAATGAAATCACAAGGGGCCCTGACACCGCACCATGCAACTGCCACTCACGGTGGCTAGCCACCTTTTTCGCAACCACCTCCACCACCATGCACACACCATGAAGGACAAAAAAACATGTCACTTCCCACGTTGGAGTCACACGAGTAAGATAATAATAAATTAACTCATGCATGAGTCCTGATACAAGAAAAGTGACTAACATGGCAGCCGAAGTGGCACAAGAGATGTTCACAAAACTTGAAAGCATACTGCGTGTAGGATTGTATACAGTAGGACGTAGAAGATGAGACACCATGAGGTTCCATCTGTGACCCCAGAAGTCTTGAAGTGAAGTGGAAAGGTAGGGTTCGTTGAACTGTGATTCTATCTCAAAGCCAAGAACAGTTCGAATCATGGCTCCAATGAAGATTAAGAGAAGTTCTAGGGAAAGGTAAACGTGGCAGCAATAAATGGGCAATAAGAGATTAGGGTGAAGATTTTGTTTGTAGTCATAAGCACGAATAATCATTGCAAAAAGAAGCAGTTTCAGAGGAAAAAGCCATTTGGGTTTGTTGGTGGTGTGGTTTTGCTTGGTTGGAGGGTGTTGTTTTGGGATGATGGGTAAGGAAGCTATGGAGATGAAGAGGAAAATGTTTTGGGGTGATATTGCAAGAGGGCCTTGGTTGAAGGAGAAAAGAAGAAGCTTGAATGTGGCAAGCCAAAGGAAGAAGGAAATTGTTCCAACTAAGGAAGGTGAAGAGAGGTATAATGGAAGCATAAAGAAGAGACAGAGAATTGGAAGGAGGGAGAGAAGCCTCAAGAAACCTTTTGGTATTCTAGAAACTATGTAATAGCAATAACTTAGAGATATGATGGTTGAAATCCATACTTTCATGAACCTTTCAATTTCACCTCCCATCTTCATCTTCTTTCTCCCTTGAATAGGCAATGAGTTTTGTGAAACTAATGGAAATAATGAGTGATATTATATATTGGTTGATCTATGTATTGAAGAAGACTTAGGATACAATATAAATAATTGGAGTTATAAACTATACAAAAACTAATGCACACACCATATATAATAATCTGTGATAGCAGCAAGAAAGTTTGACTTAGATTTCTTGTGTGATTGTGTATAAAAAAGGACATACTTATCTTAGCTTGTAAAGATGGATAAAAACGTAAATATATTATTGTTTCAAATTGTTGTATTCTATGGGTTCATTTTTCTCGACTAAATTCTTATAATTTGATCGGTGGTTTTCATCTATATATTTGTCTCTTTGGCACATAATATATATTTTGTTTGAGTCACTGTCAATTAATAGATTTCCTATTCTTATTTGTTATGTATAATTTCGTGGCTCATTTCGATTATGGTTTCGAGAAGGAAAATATTAATTAGGATTTATTAAGGGAGTAACGAAGCAATCTCTTACGTACACAAAATAAATATAATAAAAACGATGGATGTTGTTTAGTATATTTGTCTTTGATAAAGTGTTGACATAAACATACATTTGTGAATATGTGTTAATGGTATGATTCATTATAACATTTGTGAATATGTGTTAATGGTATGATTCATTATAAGACTTGTCAATTTTTCCATAAGTTAGTATCGGATTAAAATAAACAGTGGATAGAGCTCGTCGAACTGGATCCGCATTACTTTTCAGTTTAGACAAGTTCAATTTAACTTTCAATTTGATGACATTGAATCTAAACATATTAGTCTCAATTATAGGTTCAACATGACTTAATCTAACAATCAACCTGAACCAATTTGATTAAACCTCTGAAACTAACTCAATTTGACTTTTGCTTCAAATTGACTAATCCTAACCTTTGAGTTAAGTCAGCTCAGCTCGAACTTTGACCTAAGTTTATTTGACATAACCTTTGACCAAAGTTAATTCAGCTTGACCTTTGACCCGAGTTGGTATAACACAACCTTTAGCCTGTGTCAACAAGAGACAACCTTTAACACGACCTTCAACCTAAGGTGACATGACTAACCTTCAACCTAAGCCAACTCAGCCATGTTCGATTCGACTTTTGGTCCAGGCCAATTTAGCACAAACTTTGGCTTAGACCGACTCATCTCGATTTTGGTCCAGTCTGACTTCACTTAACCTTTAACCTTACATAACAAGACCCAACCCTTGACTCTACATGAGTAGGTCTAACCTTTAACTAAGGACA